GGAGCTGGTGCCTCTGGGCTTGGGCCCGGGGCTGTTCACGGAGGCTCTCGGAGCCGGCAGAAGAGCTGGGAGGAGTCCACAGGTTTGTTCCTGAACGAGGGCTTGCATCTCCCCAGCGCCCACGTCGGTGCAGCCTGTCCACCAGCGTGGTCTCGCCTGGTCCTCGGGAGGACCGGGCGTGTTGGGAAAGCACTTCCGTCCTTGTCACCCTTGCATTTGGATTCAGCTTCAGGGTGGGGGGGAGAGTCGTTTTTTGGCTTGTTTTTAACCTGGCGGGGTTTTTCCCAGTCCTTTTAGTCCTTTTTTGTGCTGATGGGTATAAAATAATTCCTGTTTCAATGAGCATTTCTTTGATTATAAAGGATGTTAAATTGCTTTCTGTTGGTCGTTGCCGTTTCTTTTGTGAGCTGCCTGAACTTTGCCCAGTTTTTTGTCAGTTAGGGTTAGTCTTTTTCTTACCTGGGTGTTAGTCTTTTCTTTTGTTTATAATACTCCCTTATCATTTAAAGATATTAATATGCACTAATTTCAGTGTATATTTCACAGACTTTTTCATCAGTTATTAAGTCCTAATTTTGTTCTTGATTTAACTTGATAGTTATTTTTATATAGTCAACTCTGTCTTTTCCTTCTCCAATACAAAATTGCAAAGACTTTACTTGCCTTTCTTTTCTTCTAGTAGTTTTATGGTCTTATTTGTAGTTAATCTTGAACTCCAGCTGCAGATTATTTTGGTACGAACAGTAAGACATAAAGCAATGACTTCATTTGGTTTTTCCCAGATGGCGAGTGGCTGTCTGGAAGCGTCCTTGGCACGACCTGTCCTTTCTGGCAGCTTCATGAAGGACGAAAGGAGTAGGAACGCGGGCACGTCGCAGGGGGGAGAGCTTCGTGAGGCGCAGAGACTGCAGGGGGAGGACTGGGAACCAGTTTATTTTCGGGTCGTGTCCTTCTGACTTGGACATTTTCGCTAGACAGCACAAAGACGTGGATTATTTGAAGATGTTTCGTTAAGGAGCAATCTAGACATGACGCCTCCAGTGTGAACCAGGAAGAATGGAGCTGTGGTGGGCTGGAGTTGGGCCTGTTTTGTCTTCAAGATGACCGCCTGAGGAGCGCTTGCTGGTCATGTGACTTGCATCCCAAAAAGGGCACCACAGAGCTAGAAACTGCCCTTTTTCGGGGATGTTGGCAAACAAGCTTGAGTTTTTCAGGTGAAAATAGGGCTGTCTGATCTTGGCAGGGTGGGTGAGGGGAGTTCTGTCCTACCGTGTCTTCTGCTAACAAAAACTAATTCTTTGACATTCCTTGTAGACCAGGTTCTTGTGCTTTGACCTCAGAGGAGACTGACATTTTGGCTTGCCTCCTGTGACTGTTCCCCACCACGTCGGGAAGCAGACTTCTAGCTGGTGGGGACCAGACTTCTAGCTGACGGGCACTTCAATAAATGCCATTCATGTTGCTGTTTTATAATTACTTCAAGTGTTAGACTTTTAGTTAATTTTAAAAGAAAGAAGTAGCATTAAACTTTCACCCAGAGTCCAGATTTACTGAAATAAAATGTCACTAAATGTTTTGATTTTTAATTTCCATTTACCATGATTAAACTTTCTGCTTATTTTTTTTCTTTATCTTAGGTGGTGACAAAGACCTTTCATGGTGCAGGCTTGGTTGTTCCAGTAGACAGAAATGATGTGGGGTACAGAGAGCTCCCTGAAACAGATGGTAAATATGCAAACTGTACCTGTGTGTTCACATATGGGGAGGATGGTTTTCCTTATATGGCAAGCAGGTCCTCATGTCCCTGTTGTGAGACGGTCACTCGACCATACAGAGTGAGCTCTGGTGTCAGTCGCTGCTGGTCTGGAGCTGAAGGTGTGGCCTCGAGCACGTTCTCTCACCTCAGGAAACTGTGTGTCAAAAGGGACGGCTTGTGGTCTTCACTGGTAGAGGAACTGGGCTGTGAAGAGTATGTCAGGGCTCAGCACAGGGCTTGCCTTGGGGCGCCCAGTACATGCTGCAATCTTGAAGAACTTAAAGGGCTTTATTTTTTTGAGCCAGGGTCTGGCTCTGTCACCCAGGCGGGAGGGCAGTGATGTGATCCTAGTTCACCAGAGCATTGACTTCCTGGGTTCAAGTGATCCTCTTGCTGCCTCAGCCTCCCCAGCCGGTGAGAATACAGGTGTACACCACCATGCCTGGCTCAGTTTTAGACTTTTTTGTGGAGACGAGGGTCTCACTGCGTTGCCCAGGCTGGTCTTAAATTGCTGGCCTCAAGCAATCCTCCTGCCTTGGCTTTCCAAAGAGCAGGAAATACAGGTATGGGGGTCGTGCGTCTTCCATCCTAGCACGTGGGCTTCTCAGCTCCACATTGCTGCCTCTGCCCGGCTGCTCGTGCTTCACCCTTGGCTCTGACCTCCTGCTTGAGGGCTGGGGTTGCCTGAGGGCGTGGACAGCCGCGAACGCCCCTGTGAGCCCCGTGGACACAGCCCCAGCCCGCCTGCCTCGTCCCTGTAAGTTTCTTCAGCCAGTCTGGCCGGTGAGAAGTTGTTAAGTAAACTTTCAAGGGCCAAAAAAAGGAAAAAGAGGAAAATCTGGCATGAGCCACTGCGCCCAGCAAGCGCTTAGAGGATTTTTAAGCTGTGGCCAGGTTACTTCCTCTAAATTATTTTACTTCTCAGTTCTTTCCCTTCCCCTCCATGTCTGCCTTGCTGTGGCATTTCTTAGCATCCTGTTCGAGTCGGCACCCTCTCAAGGGAGGACTCTGTCCTGCCTAGCATGCGTCGTCTGTGGCCCTCCACTTTCCAGAACAGAACTCACTAGCCTGGGCAGCTGCCAGTTCTCCCGAGCAGCTGTTCTCACACGTGCCTGCGCGGAGCCTCCAGCAGGTGGTGCCGTCCATCTTCAGTGATGACCCTGGGCTGCGTGGTGGGACTCCCACAGATGGGTGTGTGTGCAGTGCGGCGGCCGTGGCCATACGTGGCTCCTGAGCACGTCCAGTGTGGCCAATGCAGCTGAGGAATGCAGTTTGCCATTTCAGTGTTAATTAATGAAGCTTTTAAGTTGGAACAGGATTTTTTAAAAAATACCAATTACATGTTGACATGATACTATTTTAGAAATACTGGGCTAAATAAAATACCTTAAAATTAATTTCACCTGTTTCTTTAATGTGGATACTGGAAAAAACTTTTGTCATGTAAGCAGCCTGAACTCTGTTTTCCTTGGGTAGGTGGATCTGATCTGTACCCCACCGCCACCCTGGAGCTAGAGCTGCCCGTTTCTGATTGGAAGAGCATGGGCTCTGGCCCTGGTCAGGCTTCAGCTTGTGCCCCTGGTGGCCATCTCTTGGCCTCTGCCCACTGGCCCGCCCAGTGGTGGGCACTACCCCCAAAGCTGCAGAAAGCGTCACTCCCATTGCGCTTGGGAAGGGCTGAGCATGCCAGCTGCAGAGAGAGAGTTGGGCGCCGCGTGCCTTGGTGTCAGTCCTGTCACCCTGCCTACTTGTGGCTCTGGGGCTTTGTGTCTAGGTTGGACATTCTGGGCGATATTCACGGCTCCTTCTGTGGTGGCTTCTGAATAAGAAGCAGTGTGCCAAGAGGTGTGGTTGGCTGGCGGTTTGTTAGCAAGTCTGTTCCTCGCCAGCACCCCCAGAGCTCACCTGACGAGGAAGGCGCCATTCATGGAGCAGGGCTTTGTGTCGGCACTGCCTCGTGTCCCAGGGCTGTGTGCTCGGTATCCGTCTCCATCCCTCTTCAGGAGGGCCTCTTTCACTTGCACGAGGGCGTGCAGAGCGTTACCCCTCAGTTGCGAGGGTGGCACGTGCTTGTGTTTTCTGACGCCAGAGCAAGAGTGACTCTTGGACACCCTGCTGGGGCTCACGGGGCCCTCCTGCTGGTGGCGGTGGCCGGGCCGTGGTAGGAACTCGGCGTTGGAACGCCTCAGTCATGAGACTTCCTGTTTGAGTCATTGGGCTTCACTGAGACGTTCTTGGGCTCCTGCTAAGTGCATTTCTGTGGAATATTCAGCATCCAAAGAACACGCTTTACCTGACTTTGATGTGAGCGAGTGTCTTCGTCTCTGATCTGCAGCACTTCTCTAGCTTAGTCATTCCACAAGTTGCCTACTCTTTTTAGCCCCTGTGGGATTTGCTGGTGGCAAAACTGTTAATAGAAAACAGGGTACCGGGAAGTGGTCACTTTGCAGTCATGTGCTGAGAGTAGCCCAGTGGGCCTGTGTGTGTGGGCCCGCGTGAAGTGATTGGCAGGGGCTGTCGGGAGCCCTGGCTCGAGGTCCCAGCCAGGCAGCTCCATCTCTGGTGTAGGAGGAACCATGGCCTTCGGCCCCTTTGGCAGGGAGAGCTTTGAAGGAGGTTTTGCCCGCGTGCTTGCAGTGATGAGCACTGATTTTTCTGAAGAAAAGGAAGGTCACGAAGGTTGTGTGTCATTTGATCGTAGAGGTTTCAAGCTGGCAAATGTGGTTGACAGGTAGGCGGGAACACAGGTGGTGAAGCCTGCCATCTGTTCCCTGTAACACTGTGCCAGTGGGGAAAGGGAACCAAGCACACTTGTGACTCCCGTGGCCTGCGGTCTTACCCCGTGTCCTTTTCTGTTTGTAATTTACCATGTTATCAGTGATTGTTTTTTAATAAATAAGGCAGGACAGGGCAAAAAAGGAAGTCCGGTCTGTCCTTCTGGATTTTCTTTTGTGAATCCAGTCCTCTTTCTGTGTCTGAGGGGATGGTTCCAGGACCCTCGCAGACACCAGACCCCTGGGCGTCTGAGGCCCTGATGTCGGTGGCGCAGCATTCGAGTGGCACCTGTGTGCCCATGCACATCTTCCGGCAGTGGATACCAAATGCATTGGAAAGGCCGTGTGAATAGTGGTCACACTGTATTTTTAATTTGTACTTTTAATCTGTTTTCCTGAACACCTTGATCTGTAGTTGGTTGAACTCGAGGATGAAGACTCCTCAGGTATGAAGGTGACCGGTAGCAGCATGGACCAGTTTTTTTAACCATTTAGAAATGCAGAAACATTCTTAGTTTGAGGACAGTAAAAACAGGGTGAGCCAGGTTTGGCCAAAGTGTGCCAATTCCTGGATTAGCCCACTGAATCTGTCAAGCAGGTATAAAATCACGATTGTGGCCAGGCTTGATGGCTCAGCCTGTAATCCCAGCACTTTGGGAGGCTGAGCTGAGCTGACTGCCTGAGCCCGCAGGTTTGAGACCCGCCCGGGCAACTTGGTGAGACCTTGTCTCTACAACTTAAAAAAAAAAACTAGCTGGGCATGGTAGCACGCGCCTGTAGTTCCAGCTACTTGGAAGGCTGAGCCTGAGTAACAGGGTGAGACGCCAACTCAAAAAATATTTGAAACGTCATGCAGGCGTAAACCCACTGACCTAGCCACACTCATTCTGTTGAGCCGTTCGAAAGCTCGACTCCCGAGTAGGACATGATCACCTCGACACCCTGCGTGAGGGTGTGCGGGCGCCCCACACAGAAGCGCGGGCTGCCCTCGGGAAGCCCTGCTCTGTCTTGCCTCTGAAGCCAGCGTGGTCGTGTTAAGACAGGGTAGGTAACGCTTTTGCCTCACTGACCCTCCCAGCTGACCTCAAGAGAATCTGCAGGGCCGTTGTCGAGGCCGCAAGTGACGAGGAGAGGCTGAAGGCTTTCGCCCCCATTCAGGAGATGATGACCTTCGTGCAGTTCGCCAACGATGAGTGCGACTATGGCATGGGGCTGGAGCTGGGGCTGGACCTCTTCTGCTACGGCTCTGCCGTGAGTGAGGGACCTCCCCCACAGCCCCTGCATGCGCCTTTATGTCCCAGGGGCAGGGGATGGAGCCATCTTCTCTTTCAAAGTGAGCTGTCGGGGTGATTTTTAGGCAGATGCTTTAAAAATACTTGACGGGTACCTTGTCTTCTGGCAAAGGTGAGTGACCAGGATGAGCTGCTGTGGGGCTCCCTGCGGGCGAACTGACTTTTCGGACACAGCCCGTGCCCTTCACTGGGGGGGGGTGTGTCTCTGTGTGTGTGTGTGTGTGTGTG